CTCTCTCTCTCTCTCTCTCTCTCTCTCTCTCTCTCTCTACTAGGGATGGAACTCAGGACCTCGCACTTGTGAGGCAGACATGTAGTGCCACTGAACTAAGTCCCCAGCTCCAGTCTTTTCTTTTACACATGAAATACTATTGTGAAAAACAATAGGCTGTGTCTTTTGCTGTCAAATGGGATTTTTCTCTATCTTGTGCTCTGGCTCACTTTGAATATCCCTTCCTGGACACACCAGTCACAAATTTGCCTCCTCAGATCAAACCTGGAAACACACCTATAAACCAACTGTAGTTTATTAAGAGCCAAGAATTCACTATTCTCCGAATTCTCCCTTTGCTCCACGCCCCTTTCTACTCAGTAACTTTTCTCATTCCTCCCCCAATTCCTGAGTTAGCCAATTGGAACAGATTGTAAAACTTCTACCCAGTGAATGGGAAAGAGGTCAGCAACTTCCTCCTGCCTTAGGATAAAAGAGCCCACCCTCCTTTGTTCCTCTCCTGTTCCTGCTACCTCATGCTTGCTTTCTTCTTCAGGAGAAAACCTAAAATTGCCTTGTCAAGATTTCTTGTTCTGGGGTGAAGGGGTGAAAGGAGGACAGGGGTGTGGGGAAAAATAAGAACTAAGGCATATCATGTAAAGGTACAAGATCCTAATGATAAATGTAAATGTATTGTTTTCTTTAGATGTACCAATAAACTTAATTGGGGAAAAAAGATATCTTGTTCTGTGTCTTTTCGGCACTGACAAATTGAGTCTGGTAGCTTATTCCCAGTAGTATCTCTCCCTTCTCCCTTACTTGGTAAAATAGTGGAATGAGAATCAGAAATTCTTGTTCTTAACTTTTTTTCCATTGTCTTTCTCTCTTTGAACTTCAGATCACAAACATCTTTAAGGACTGGATCAAGTACTACCTCCTCCAAGAAACTTTTTCTCACTTTCTCTGCCTTTAGGACTGACGATTTGAGAACACCAGCTCTCTATTCCATCCTCTTCTATAATCATATACTATCCAATATTCCTTGTATGACTACCCTGTATTCACTTCTAACTTTTCACATAAATATTAGTTTTATTTCCAACTTGATTATAGTCTCCTGAAGAACAATGTCGTTTACTTTCTATTCCCTTCCTCAGATCCCAGCATGGAGCTCTGCCAGAGAGCACTTAGTAGAAATAGAATTTCCACAGAGCAAATTTTCCACAGTCTGGATAATCCAAGCTGATTCTGGCTAGATTTTCCTCTTTCAACTTGTAGCTCACCTTTTACCAGGGGAAGTGTGAATGAGCAGAAACTGAGAGGTGACAAAAACATCTAACCATTTAATTTGGCTTACACCCAGCAGTTCTGGGGCTAGCTGGGGTGAGAAAAGGCAAACATGAGAAAGATAGTGCTTATTTGCCCCTGTAGGAGTAGTGATTATAGGGAACCCTCTGTAAATTACACACACATACATACACACACCTCATAAGCTTCTAAATGTTAGAATTTAAACATAGAAGTCAAAATCTCCACAGTAGTGCTGACAACATACTGCTAGATAAGAGAATTACTGACTGGTACTGGGAATTTGCAAAGGAGAGGGATGAAGAGGAATAATGAACAGCTCTTCATTTTCCACTCATCCAAACTGTGGAAAAACCAAGATAGATTAACTGGAAATATTTCTTCACCCATCATTTTTTATATCTGTCACAGTCAAATAATAATCTCTGGAGAGGAAATGTGTACCTACCCAAAAAGAAATAAAATTTGAAAGCGTTAAGTGTTATGAGCAAGGTTGAAAGAATGAGGTAGGGAATTCCAAGGCATGAAGATGTATCTTCAAAATTAGAGAATAGGGAACTTCCCTAGAGGAATGGGGTTTGGTAACTGGGCCTACAAACTGGGTAGGATATGGGCCTGAGATTGTTAGGAAATGGAATGGGAATGATTTCCAAGAATTCCATGGGAAAAATTGTGATGTATGTCCTGAAAATAGTAAAGAATTCAATGTGGCTGGACTATAGTGTGCAAGAGAGGTAAAGGTGATGCTGAGGCATCAGGAGAAGGTTAAGACTAGCTTCTGAATAGAAATGAATGCTGCTGTGAGCACCTAAAACACCATGGGGTCACGAAGTGAATATAGTGAGATGAGTCCTTCCAACAGGTCTAAATTCCCTCTCCTTCTCTCAAATCTCTTAAAAGCCCCATGGGTTTCTCTACACATTCTATTCAAGCTTATTTATACAAGGGGCATTCAGTCTCCAAGGAAATACTTACCATCATAACAGCCAGGACCACAGCTTATTTATGGCAAAGTGCCAACACTCCAATTAAACCTGACTGTTTAGCTACTAAGGTGATGCTGCGGCTACTCAGCTCACAGGCTGACACAGAGGGCTCCCTTTGCCCGCTGAAGCAGACATGCTATAGGTTTGCCAACACTGATAGGTTTGTGTATTTGGATTATGGATGTGTGATAACCAAATTGGTTTAGCATAGTTTTGGGTGTGGATAATGGAAGCCCCATCCATGGTGTGGGTGACACCAATCAGTAGGCTTATAGCCTAGATGGAATATGGAAAGTAAGTTTTCCTGCCACTGCTTGCTGTTTCAGGCCTCCCCTACCATGGATTGTTTCTCTTCTGCCATGTCTCTCAGCCATGCTGCCTTACTGTGGAACCAGCTGACTATGCACTGAAACTTCTACAAACTTTGAGCCAAAATAAACTCAATTAAAGCTGAAAAAAAATTTCTTCCTCTAACTTGTGGATGTTGGGTATTTTGTCCCAACAACAAGAAAAGTGACCAAGACATTCCTACATTCCCAAAATAACTTTTTTTAGGAAGCATCTTTTTCCTCTTTATTGACATTTTCATTTATTACCTAACTAAGGCCCATCATGGTTTATATTAGATGGATTATTTATTAATAGAGATGTTGCAAAGGGAATTTAAAAATTAGATGAGAGTTGACCAGGTTCTATGCTGCCTAGTATGGTAGCTATCATATTCATGTGACTATTGAACAATGGCAATTAGGCTTGTCTGAATTGAGATGTTTCAACTGTGAAATACACAACAGATTTTGAAGCCTTGGCATAAGACATACAAAATATTCTATTAATGGTATTTTTATTACATGTTCAAATAATTTGGGTGTGTAGGATTAAAGTATATTCCTAAAATAAACTTTGTTTACTTTTTTCCTTTTTAATTGTGTATGCTAGAAGAGTTAAAATTACCTAACTAGCAGTATGTTGAATAGCACTACTGTGAGCATTTTGACCATTTCTACATTTAAATCCTAACATTTAGAAGCTTATGAGGTATGTGTGTATGTGTGTGTGAGAGAGAGAGAGTGTGAGAGAGAGAATGTGTGTGTTAGAGATGGGTGCTTATAATTTACATACATACATACATGGGTCCCTTGTGTGTGTGTGTGTGTGTGTGTGTGTGTGTGTGTGTGTATATATATATATATATATATCTCCTATCTAAGTAATAGGAGACAAGGGTGACTCACTCTGGGAAATCTTTGGCTCTGGTTTTGAGGCTTTATATAGTTAATTGTCATGTTCCCTGCATAGGTTAAATTCCATGCCAAGGAAATTGTAGATAAATTAACAGCATAGAAGTTGAATGGAAGAGCTACAGAATAAGGATATATTGGTAGCTGCAAAACTGGCCTGGGGATCAAATGAAAGAGTGGGCGCAAAGTGATTTGGAACATGTAATGTGTTACAGATATCAGGTGAGTGATGGGGTTAAGGTCATTTGTGTTCAGACAGATACTTGGAAGTAGGCAGTGGCAGGTGAGCACCTGCATGGTTGACAGAATCTGAAAACCTTGGATTTAATGTACCAGTTGTAGCAAAGGTTTTAAATGATTTTTAACGTGGCAGGAGAAGAAGGAAAAGCAAAGTGCTACCTTTTGATAAAAGGGTGTGTCGGCTTTTGGAGTACTGGTAAGGAACCTCATCCTTTTAGTCTAGAAGGAAATAAGGGGAACATTTTCTAAGGCTAAAGCACTGTTTTGGTTCTTTACAGTTTATAAAATGCTTTTGTTATTCATTCATTCAATGAACACATATTTGTTGAATAACTATTATGTACTTATTAAAAGATAAATGTAATGCAATGTAGTAAGTAGTATTAGAGCGTGCATTCATTTATTGAAATGTTCACTGAACGCCTATCACATTTGAAGAACTATTCTAGGTAATGACTGCCCAGCAGTGAAAACAGTGGTGACACCAAAGTGTAAAGCTCCTTGCTTTCATGGATCTTACATCTGTCTGGGAAACAGATAATACACAAAATAAATAAAATCTCCCATATGTCAGGTGATGGTATGATAATAAAGAAAGAAAAAAAGCAGAAGGACTGCTGAAACAGAGTAATATAATGATATACTATTAAATAAGGGAATTAAGGAGTGCCTTACCTCCAGGCAAGTTAAAGAATTGAAGTAGGTAAGGTAGCAAGTCATGTGTATATCTAGAAGAAAAGAATTATAGGCAAGGACAAAGTCTATGAGGTAAAAGCAAGATTGGTATGTTTGAAGCCAGAGTATCAAAAATAAAGAGGGAAGTGGAGTAGAAGAGAGATGAGATTAGAAAAGTTATGTGGGCTAGTTATGTGGATGTTAGCTTTTCATCTAAATAAATTAAGAATTCTTTGGAGAATTTTTGGAAGAGGGGTGATATGACCTGACTTATTTTTTTAAT